CTAAACCCCAAACCCGAAACCCTAAACCAAAAAACCGCGCCTCCGCCAGCACCTTATTCAGCTCTGCCTCGGCGGCGCCCAGCTCGCCCATGGCCTCCACAACGCTTACTTGGAAGCTCTTTTGACTTAGTAAGTAGGGTTTAGGGTTTAGGGTTTAGGGTTTAGGGTTTAGGGTTTAGGGTTTAGGGTTTAGGGTTTAGGGTTTAGGGTTTAGGGTTTAGGGTTTAGGGTTTAGGGTTGAGGGTTTAGGGGTTAGGGGTTTAGGGTTTAGGGTTTAGGGTTTAGGGTTTTGGGGTTTAGGGTTTAGGGTTTAGGGTTAGTCAGGTGGGTTTATTTTTTTTTGGGGGGGGGGGGGGATACTAATGGGGTCCGAGTATGGCTTCCTTGATCTAAGGGTTCTAGGGGCTCTAAGGGCTCTAAGGGTTCTAACCGCTCTATGGGGTTCCAAGTGCCCGATGGGCTCTGAGGGTTCCAAGGGTGGCTTAGGGTTGAGGGTTCCAAAATTCGAGTTTGGGTTAGGAGGGTTTAGAGTTTAGGGCTTGGGGTGCAGGGGCCTTTAAAACTTAGGGTTTCGGGTTTAGGGTTTAGGGTTTCTTTGTAAAAAGGTTCTAAATCGGAGGGGACAAAGACACTGCATCGCAAGGGCCGAAGGGTTTGGTAGTTCAGGGTCTTGCTTGGAACTTAGGGCATCTGGGATCGACGGTTTAGGGTTCAGGGTTCAGGGTTCAGGGTTCAGGGTTCAGGGTTCAGGGTTCAGGGTTTAGGGTTTAGGGTTTAGGGTTTAGGGTTTAGGGGTGGCCCTAGTGTTAGTGGAAGCTCCGGGGCGTTAAGCCAGATGCCCAGGAGAGAAAGCTCATGGATGCTGAGTTTCCCACGTCTCATGGGGACAAGGCCAGGCACTGACCAAATAGATTTCAAAACCCTTAGCCCTAAACCGTAAACCCTAAAGATCCTTCTTCGTGCAGCTGGATGCTCTTCTCGGTTAGGATCCCTCAACGGCATATGGGGGCTTACGAAATAGGGACCCCAAAAGTCGACCCCGAAATAGCCGGATCCCCTTCTAAAAAGGTACCCCAAGAAGGTACCCCCTCATTTCGGAAAACCCCATATAGGAAATGGAGATGTTCTAAGGTGTCGCTGCCAACTTCACGAAACTCCCTAAATAGGCCCTAAACCCCTAAACCCTCAACCCTGAACCCTGAACCCTATACCCTAACCCCAACCCCGAACCCAACCCTCAACCCCCTAATTACCCCCTTCCCCACCCCCCCCCGTTCCCCACCCCCGCCTTGGCCAGTCTTGCCTCAGCCACCTTCAGCGCATCCATCTTGGGCTTTACAATCTTGGCGGCGCCGTGATACATGACCTGCGGGATGGAGGGCTTCGGGTGAATTTCGGGTTTGGGGTGTAGGGCTTGGAGGGTTAGGTCATAAGTCCACCCTGCGCTTTCAACAATGCTTCGAGTCTGAACTTGGGATGTTGTTGGCCCTAAAACTAACAGTGCTTAATAGGGATTCTAATGAGGGGTACGAGAATCCCTATTAAGGACTGTTAGTACAAGGGGGACCATCCCAAGTCTATATACCCTAGAGTCCTAAACCCTTTTATGAGTCTACGGTGTTTATGGTTTAGGGTTTAGGGTTTATGGTTTGGGGTGTTGGGCTCTCTGGGTTTCCATTCAAGCCTCGGTCCTCCGCCCAGAAGGCCCTCCCATGAAAACCTGCCCCTGCTCTCAAATAAAGGCGCCAAAAGACCAACTTGTTGGGTCTCTCCTGCAACGGAAATCAACATGAGGGTTCAAGGTGTTTTAGGGTTCAGGGTTTTGAGGTTCAGGGTTTTAGGGTCCTAAACCCTAAACCCTATTGCCTAACCCTGAACCGTCAACCCCAAACCCCAAACCCCGAACCCTAAACCCTAAACCCCAAACCCCAAACCCCAAACCCTAAACCCTAAACCCTAAACCCTGAACCCCGAACCCTAAACCCTAAACCCTAAACCCTACACCCTAAACCCTAAACCCTAAACCCTGAACCCTGAACCCTAAACCCTTGCCAGTCCGGGCGGCCATGGCTCCGACGAACTTGCAGAGTCCGGCCGCCGCGCCCGAGGCTTTGCCGGCCAGCTCGGGGTCCAGGGCCTGGGGTTAAGGGTTTAGGGCTAGGGTTTAGGGGGTTTAGGGTTCAGGGTTTGGGGTTTAGGGTTTGGGGTTTGGGGTTTAGGGTTTAGGGTTTGGGGTGTGGGGTTCGATGTGGTTTAGGGCTTTAGGGGCTTCGGGATTGAGGGGCTCAGAAAGTTAGGGTTTCAGGGGCTTGGATTTTGGGGGTTGAGGGGTTTGGGCTTTGGGAGGGATTGAGTCTGGGCCCTGCAGGGTTGCAACTCATTAGGGTTTGTGTTTTATTTTTTTTTATATTCTCTTTAGCCAAAACCCTAAACCCTAAACCCTAAACCCTAAACCCGAAACCCTAAACCCTAAACCTAAACCCTAAACCCTAAACCTTTGTCATGAAGAAGAGGGCCGTGCCTTGAAGGGCCAAGGACTCCAATTCTTCGCCACATCCTGGCAGCATCACATGCAGGACTTTGTGCTACCCTAGACCCTCAACCCTAAACCCTAAACCCTAACCCCGGGACTTTGTGCTGCCCTAATCTCTAAGATCTAGTGTTTGCATAGGGCTTAGGATTTAGGGTGTAGGGGCCTATTGAAGCCCTTTTGAACTCCCTAAAACCCTTAAGTCCCGAAAAGACCCTGAAGACCTCCAAAGCACGCAAATAGTCAGTCACTCAAGACTCAAACCCCTAAAGCCCTAATTCCTAAACTTTTCAAAGCCCGGAAAGCCCTACCCTAACCTTGCTTCCCATACTTCCCCTAGCTCTTTCGCTCCTAGCGAACAATCTAGGCCTAGGGTGCAGGGCTTAGATTTAGGAATGTTCAGACTCTAAGGGTTCAGGACTTCGCGGTTGATTTGGGTGGAGTGGGTGAAGGCTTAGGCTTTTTCAGATTTAAGGCTGCACCTCGCCCTAAGTGCAGGAGCCTGATCATTATGTTCTCGCATTCTCATGCCCTACACCGATGAACCCTGAACCGTGAACCCCAAAGCTCTAGACCATAAAGCCCCAACCGAACAACCCTAAACCCTAAACCCTAAAACCTCAGACCCTAAACCCTAAAACCTCAGACCCTAAACCCTTAACCCTAAAACCTCAGACCCTAAACCCCTAGAACTTGTCCTTAACCTTGAAAACAAGTCCCCCTACTTGGAAGCCCTTTCTGACTGAGTAGGTAGAGTTAGTAAAGTGAAATAAACTACGGGGATTATAATCGGGTGTCTTGGGAAGACTAAGTAGACCGACTAAGTCAAAAGAGCTTCTAAGTACGCTCTAAACCCTAAACCCTAGACCCTAGACCCTAGACCCGAAACCCTAAACCCTAAACCATAAACCCTAAACCCCAAACCCCAAACCCTAGCTAGTACGTCCCTCAAGGCCTCGTCGAAGCGCAGGTACGGCTCCAGGAGCTCGCAGGTCTCGTCGTTGATGTTGTCCTGCGGAGGCGGGCTCAAGGTTTAGGGTTTAGGGTTTAGGGTTTAGGGTTTAGGGTTTAGGGTTTTGGGTAGGGTTTAGGGTTTAGGGCTTAGGGCTTAGGGCTTAGGGTTTAGGGTTTAGGGTTTAGGGTTTAGGGTTTAGGGTTTACGGTTTACGGGTTTGGGGTTTAGGGTTTCGGGTGTAGGGTTTAGGGTTTAGGATGCATTGCACAGTTCTGCATGTGCTTGTACAAAGGTCTTGAGAACCAGTAGGGCGCATAGGGCTTTAAAGCCTAAAACCCGGAACCCTAAGCCCTGAACCCTAACCCCTAGCCCTAAACCCTAAGCCCTAAGCCCTAAGCCCTAAGCCCTAAACCCTAAACCCTAAACCCCAAACCCTAAACCCTAAACCCGAAGCCAAGAATGGGAGCTGAAAGGCTCTACCTGGGAGGTATCAAGACCCTGAGGGTGTACGGGGAGCCTCAGGGGGCATTCACGGGGTTTAGGGTTTAGGCTTAAGGGTTGAAGGGTTTAGGGCTTAGGGTTTAGGGCTTAGGATTAAGGGGTGTGGGTTTTCGGGGTTCGGGATTGTCGTTGACTTGCTGTCTTCAGGCTTAGGGCCTTTTGAGGCCTTCTTCGAGACGTTGGGTGTTTGTTTTTGGGGGCTTTGGGCTCAAGATTACTCATCGTATCCTCTGATACTCTACTGAAGAAAGTGAACTACCCCTTAACATTCACATTCTGACTATCTACACCCCTTTACTACACTGTAGCATTCAGAGCTTCCATGCCTTCTCGTTGGCCGCGAAGTCCAAGATGTTGTTCAAGAAGTTCATGTCCTGACAAATACTAGGTTGCCCAGTATCCTAGGATTAAACAGGGTGCCCTTTTTTGCTTAAAAGGGGCTGATAAGGGAACCTACACCCCCAAAAAAGGGAAAAAAGGGTAGTACTGGGCATCCTAGCAAAGCCCAGGAACACCTCTGTTCGAAGGGTGCGGTTTGGGGTTTAGGCCGCCGTTGGCGCTTAGGGTTTAGGGCTTAGAGTTTCGGGTTTCGTCTATCTGCAACCCAGTCAAGGTACAAACCTCACTGCTTTAAAACGAAGGGCACTTCTGTGAGCCATCTTTTTTAAAAAATGATTTTTTCATAGTAGGACTTCTGAATATTCCTTAAATCCGCAAATGATAACGGTTTACAGCACTGAATTTTCAGTAAAACATATCACGGCTTCGCTAAGTAACGGTCGTTTGGGGCTCCGAGTTTAATAGGGAGCCCCATACTGAGGGTACCCAAAAACAGCCCACTAGCAAATAGATAACCCACTCCCCCACCCTCCCACCCCCGGCGCTCCCCCCCCCCCCCCCCCCCCCCCCCCGCCCCCCCCGGCGCGCGCGAGCGCGCCCCCCCCAGCAGTCTTGCGGGATAGTCGTCAGTTGCGGGGCCTTGCGAGCTGCCATCCTTTCATACCTCACGTTCAAGCCCAAGCGTTCTCGGGTTTAGGGTTTAGGGTTTAGGGTTTAGGGTTTAGGGTTTAGGGTTTAGGGTTTAGGGTTTAGGGTTTAGGGTTTTGTTGAATGCTGTTGGGGCCCCATAGTTGGTTTAAAGGGCTTAGGGCTTTAACAAATGGGTTGAAGTTCCCCTTAAAGTGTTTATGCTGGATCCTTCAGAAAAACTTCGAGATCTGAGAACCAAATTGGGTTTAGGGTTTAGAGTTTAGGGTTTAGGGTTTAGGGTTTACGGTTTAGGCCCCACAACAGATAAAGAGGGGTCCTGCAGATCCTTCTTGGAGAACTCCTCGTAGCTGTCCATGATGAAGGATGCAGTCACCTCTTGGTCCCCCAGGCCGCGGGAGGCTCTACAACAGTCCGGGCTCCTTTCCAAGCAAGTTCCTGTCCCCAACCCTGAACCCTGATCCCTAAACCCTAAACCCTAAACCCTGCTGGAGTGACCTATATATTGAAAAAGGAAAGAGTGCCCAAAGAGCTGCTGGCGTGATCTATATACCCTTGAAACAGGAAGGAGTACCTTTGTTATAGGTAATTCTGCCCCTTTTCAAGCTACAAGGATTGCCTCTAGGGGAGGCACTAAGAGTACGTAACGCTCCGCTCCAGCCAGCATGCGGTGCTGCCAGCAGGCCCTAAGCAACAAAAAGAGCAGCCGTGGGGCGTCACCACACTCTAAACCCTAAACCCTAAACCCTAAACGCTAAAACCTAAAACCTAAAACCTGAACCCTGAACCCTAAACCCTAAACCCTAACCCCACTAAACCCTGTGCCCTAAACCGACGATCAACCGCCGAAGGCGGATGCTCGCGCGAGCCCTCGAAATGCAAACCCCGAACCCCATCTCGTCGGTCAGAGTGTGAACCACAGACCACGCGGGGGGGGGGGGGGGGGGGGGGAACCCAAAACCCACCATGAACCACATGGGGGGGGGGGGAGGGGAATTTCCATGCCCGGGGGGTGCGTGAATGCTGGCTCATATGTACCTTTACATAGTTCCGAAAAACCGAAGTAGCATACATAAATGTATCTAGATATATATATATATATATACCTTTGCATAGTCCCTAAAAACCGAAGTAGCCCCTAAAGAACCCCTAAAGTCCCTTACAAGGGTCCTTCCCCTAGTCCCCTGCAGACCGCGCCTTGTTGATGAGCTTGTCATCTACCTGCGCTTCAGAGGTTCTAGGGTTGTTAAGGGTTAAGGGTTAAGGGTTAAGGGTTTAGGGTTTAGGGTTTAGGGTTTAGGGTTTAGGGTTTAGGGCTCAAGGCTCAAGGGGGGTATGTAACCCAAGTTTCCCGAAAACTCCCTGCTACTCCCGAGGTCTCGAGGGCTCCCTAAGCTTCTGTAAGGTACCCTAGGTACCTACCCCCCAGGGTTTAGGGTTTAGGGTTTAGGGTTTAGGGTTTAGGGTTTTGGGTTTTGGGTTTAGGGTTTAGGGTTTAGGGTTTAGGGGTGAACCCTAAACCATGAACCCTGAACCCTAAACCGACCATGAGCCCCCCCTCCTTTAAGAACCCTATAAAGAGGAGAGAGGATTGGACCCAATGTGAAGAATCTCACCTAAGCCCTCAACCCTAAACCCTAAACTCCTCAGCAGCGGACCCGCAGCAGCAGGAAGACCCCCAAAGCGCCCACCTAAACCTAAACCTCTTTCACCTTGAACTGTGCAGGTGAAACAACTCAAAGTCCGTTGCCCGAGCCCTCAGGCCTACAAGGAGGGGCCCCCTAGCTATACGTAGAGTTATAGGAACCCTAAGTTGGGTTATAAGGATCCTAAGTTGGGATATAAGAACCCTGAGTTCGGTTATAAGGATCCTAACTTGGGTTATAAGTCCCTTAAGTATAGTTAGGTCCCTCCTTGTACTTCCCGAATCTCAAACCCTGCAAGTCCCCAATAAGTCCCCAACGTCCTAGACTGCCATGGAGGCAACCTGAAACCTCCCTCAACCCTAAACGATAAACGCCAAACCCTAAACCCTAAACCCCAAACCCTAAACCCCAAACCCTAAACCCCAAACCCTCAACCCTAAACCCTAAACCCCAGACCCTAAGCCCCAACCCTAAACCTGAAACCCTAAACTCCAAACCCTAAGCCCCAACCCTAAACCCTAAACCTGAAACCCTAAACCCTAAACCCTAAACCCCAAACCCTAAACCTGAAATGCGATTCGGCTCTATCGCCTTCACCGAGATGACCGGCTTCGACTGTAGGATCTGCAGACCGTCGAAGGTCAGCTTGATGATGTCCACAGGCCTTAGACCCTAATCCTTCAACAATAAATTAGGGTTTAGGGTTTAGGGCTTAGGGGTTAGTGTTGAAGGTTTAGGGTTTAGGGTTTAGGGTTTAGGGAAACCAACTACGGGCAGCTAAGGGGCCATGCGTCGGTAGCCCTTCTCGCCCTTTGGAACCAGAGTTGCATTAAGATAGTCTCTTGGAGTCTGTTGAACAGAAACAAGAATCGAAACCTGGTGGCTAAGGGGGGATGACAGCCTCGGATATAGCGCCCCCCCCCCCCCCCTATACGACACTTTAGCAGCCTCTGACGAGGCAATGTGCCCCTTGGAACTGCCCTCAAAAATTCCTGGTTCTGTACCCGCCTCGTAACACTACATAACAAAAGTACGGCTAAAAATAAAGTGGCAATGATAGTGATAGTCACTTGGGTGCGGAGTCCGGCAAAACGATTATGCCAAAAAGGCGGTAGAGTTGGTGAAAGGGTCTAGGGTTTAGGGTTTAGGGTTTGGGTTTAGGGTTTAGGTTTTAGGTTTTGGGGTTTAGGGTCAGCTTTCGTAGGGTTCTAAGGGGCAAACACGGGAAGCACCCTAAACCCTGAACCCTGAATCCTAAACCTTAAACCCTAAGACCTAAACCCTAAACTAAGCCCAAACCAAACCCCTCAAGACTCGCCAGGTGCAGCCTTTCATAGCTTCGGGTTCCGGGATCGGCCCAAAAATGGCTCGAGCACACACCCTAGAACCAAAGACTTGAGCTTGGCGGCCCAGTAACCATGATGGAACAAGGGTGCCCTTTTTTGGGGTTTAGGGTTTAGGGTTTAGGGTTTACGGTTTAGGGTTTAGGGTTTAGGGTTTAGGGTTACTTTTTAAGGGACCTTGAACAAGAAAAGGGAAAAGGGTACCACTTGGCAGAAGAAAACAAGCCAAACAGAAGAAACCAAACAAGGACTACGACCCAGAGCAGGCCCTCAGTCCCTTTCTTCGGGGGCTCGGGTTTCGGGTTTCGGGTTTCGGGCTTCGGGTTTCGGGATTAGGGTTTAGGGCAGTTTAGGGTCTAGGGTTTAGGGTTTAGGGTTTAGGGTTTAGGGTTCTCTTAGAAGCCCCTAAAGCCACCAAAAAGGTCGCCTCCAACACCAGCACCTGTTAGAGTTCAGGGTCTCAGGGTCTCAGGGTCTCAGGCTTCAGGGTTTAGGATGTAGGGACGGTTACACGGTCCTTAACAAAGGGGCATCCCAGTCATTCCCTAACCCTCCCGGGTGCCGTCAAAGGACTCCGTAAGGTTCTCTAAGGTTCTCGAGTGAGTACCTCCCCCCTTCGACTCCCCCACCCTGAAAAGCCTTACAGTTTAGGGTTTAGGGTTTAGGGTTTAGGGTTTAGGGTTTAGGGTTTAGGGTTTAGGGTTTAGGGTTTCGGGTTTAGGGTTTAGGGTTTAGGGTTTAGGGTTTAACCAGCTCATAAGACAGGGCACTTGTTGTTGGTCTTGATCTCAGTGATATCCTACGCTCAAGACTGCGCACCAGGACAGCTGAGAGCTAAACCCAAAACACCCCAAAAGCAAAACCGAAAAAAAACAAAACCCCAAACCCAAGACTAACTCTTGGTTGATCAAAAGGGGATCGGGAGTACCCAACAAAACTAAAGGTCAACACTGAAACCTGAAACTCGAAACAATGGGTCTAGGCCCAAGAGTAATTTGGGAGCCTTTCTTTAAGGGGGGTTGTAGCCTAACGACCCCCCCCCCAAAAAAAAAAAATAAAAGGTGAATAAAGGCCTACTCTGGGTTTAGGGTTTAGGGTTTAGGGTTTAGGGTTTAGGGTTTAGGGTTTAGGGTTTAGGGTTTAGGGTGATTAGGGGCGTAGGGCTTGTGGGTTTTAGAGCTCAGGCTATGGGATCCGACTCTTCAGCAGCAGCTGACACAATATGTAACTTTAAACATCTACAATCCCATACCGCAACCTCGCATTTTTCAAGTTCTCTTGGTGGTGGTGGTGGCGGGGGGGGGGGGGGGTCTGCTGACATTTTCGTGTTTGCTGAGAGTTTTATGTTTAGCTCCGTTGCTGGTTTTGAGAAGGTTTTGGGGGGATTTGTTGAGGGGGTGGTCTGGTTGAGCGAGTTCAGTTCCTCTGTCGAACGTAAATTTTCAGGGTCAGGCTCCATCGTTGTCGGCTGGAGTTTGTTGCCAGTAGCCTCAGCTTGGAACCTAAAACCCCAAATGGCTTCTCAGGCTCTTGAGTAACCCCTCACCCCACCCAACCCCCCCCCCCTGAACCATGAACCCCAACCCTAGACCCTAAACGCGATACGCCGAAAGGACTAAAGCCTACACCCTCAACCCCTAAACACCCTAAACCTTTCGACCCCTAAACGTCTTTCTCTGGTGACCCTATAAGCCCTAGACCGTAGGTAAACCCTCCACCCGAAACCCTTAACCATACCCCCTCGACCCTCAACCCTAAACTTGGGATGTTCCCCTTGTACTGGCAGTCCTCAACCGGGATTAAAATAGGGGATACTATAATTTCAATCCTTATTCAGGACTGTTAGTATAAGGGGGAACATCGAAACCCTAAACCCTAACCCCTAACCCCTAAACCCTAACCCCCAACCCCTAACCCCTAAACCCTAAACCCTAAACCCAGTGCAGGTCTCCTTCTTGGTGATGGAGTTGCAGGCAGACTCGGCCTCGTGCAGGAAAGGCAATGCCTTGTCCAGCTCGATCTGGGCCTCGGCCTTCTCACCTGGAGGTGGGTTTAGGGTTTAGGGTTTAGGGTTTAGGGTTTAGGGTTTAGGGTTTAGGGTTTAGGGTTTAGGGTTCAGGTTTAGGGTTTACGGTTCAGGTTTAGGGTTTAGGGTTTGGGGTTTGGGGTTTGGGGTTTGGGGTTTGGGGTTTGGGGTTTAGGGTTTGGGGTTTAGGGTTTGGGGTTAAGGGTGACCTCGAAAAACGGTTGACACAGACCCCAAATTGAGATTCCCTTACAATCAGAACCCCAATAAGGTACGCCAAATCTAGGGACCCCCCCCCCCCCCCCGCCTCCAGATGCTAAACAGCCACACCCTACACCCTAAACCCTAAACCCTAAATCACTTGCTGGCGATGTCACCGTTGATCTTGTCGGCTTCCGCCTGGCAGTCCGCCTTCTGCGCGTTCACCTGGGTTGCTTGTAACGTTGGGGTTTAGGATTCAGGGTTTGGGGTTTGGGGTTTAGGGTTTGGGGTTTGGGGTTTAGGGTTTAGGGTTTAGGGTTTGGGGTTTGGGGTTTAGGGTTTAGGGTTTGGGGTTTGGGGTTTGGGGTTTAGGGTTTAGGGTTTGGGGTTTAAGGTTTCGGGTTTAGGGTTTAGGGTTTAGGGCCCAGGGTTGTAGTAGTTGGGTCTTTTGGGCGTGTATGGGGTTTAAGGTTTGGGCCCCAGGGTTGATCCGTGCGGGTTGTAGGCTTTATAGTCCCGGGCTGGTAAAGTTGGGAACCCTAAACCCTAAACCCTAAACCCTAAACCCTAAACCCTAAACCCTAAACCCATACTTCACCCTGAGCACGAAACCCTGAGTTCTAAAAGCCTAAGCCCTGAGCCCTAAAAAATGCCAAAGACCACTCGCACAAAATTGTGAGACTGGGCTCGTTGAGAGAGACATTCTGAGCCCCCTAATGTTTACTGTTGAAGGGGTTAGGAATTCAAGAGGGCATCAGGGTGTCTAGGACTTGAACCCCAACAAAACACCTCTGCTCAACCCTAAACCCTAAACCCTAAACCCCAAACCCTAAACCCTAAAACCCTGCAAAAATCCCTTTTGGGAATCCCGACATGGGGAGCTGCTGCTCTGCAGTACAAACACGCTTGATCGCTTAGGGCTTCGGCTGTTTAGGGCTTCTAGGGCTTAGGGTTCAGGGTTTAGGGTTTAGGTTTAGGGAGGTGTAGGGCTTGGCTTTGATGGTTGAGGGTTTGGGGTTCCGGGTTAGGAGGATTTAGTTGTTGGTATGGGGTTCTAAGGTTCCCCCAAACCTAGGAGCCCGCTCCCCCCCTTGCCCAAATCCCTCCCCTGACATGCTTAACTCGGGTGGGGGCGTGGTGGGGGGAAGGTTTAGGGCTTAAGGTTTTGGGGTTTCGTGTTTAGGGCTTAGGGTTTGGGGGAGGGGGGGGGGAGGGGACAGGGCGTCAAGATTGGCACTACCTTGTCATAACAAGAAGCATGCATGGCGGCTACACCCTAAACCGAAAAAACCCTAAAGCTTAAATCTGAAGCCAGAAGCTTCGCCCAGAAACACTTCCCCCTTTCACCCCAAAAGCACCAGCAAGCTGACGGACCCTAAACCCTAAACTCCCCAAACCCTAAACCCTAAACCCTAAACCCTAGACCCTAGACCCTAAACCCTAAACCCTAAACCCTAAACCCTAAACCCCCAAACTCTTAGGCCCTTAATATGGGACCTCTTATGTACCCTGTACAGGGGCCCATACATCAGAACCCTCTAAGGAAGGTAAGGGACCACATCACGGGGCCGTGGAACTACCCTAAGATCAACCCGAAAATCTATACCCTAAACCCTAAACCCTAAACCCTAAACCCCAAACCCTAAACCCTAAACCCTAAACCCCAAACCCTGAAACCCTGAACCCTAAACCCACCTGCTCGGCTTTCTTGTCCGCCTTGGCTTTCTCGGCCATGACCTGCGGATTGACATTCTTGTCTAGGCTTTCAGTGTTTAGGGGCTAGGTTAGGGTTTAGGGTTTAGGGTTTAGGGTTTAGGGTTTAGGGTTTAAGGTTTAGGGTTTAGGGTTTAGGGTTTAGGGTTTAGGGTTTAGGGTTTAGGGTTTAGGGTTTAGGGTTTAGGGTTTAGGGTTGAGGGTTGAGGGTTGAGGGTTGAGGGTTGAGGGTTGAGGGTTGAGGGTTGAGGGTTGAGGCGCTTCAATCTTTAGGGCTTTGGAGCTTTAGGCTTTCAGTGTTCTTGTCTAGACTTTCAGTGTTTAGGGCTTAGGGCTTAGGGTTTAGACTTTAGGGCTGAGGGCCGTTTAGGGTTTTTAGGGTTTAGGGTTTAGGGTGTAGGGTGTAGGGTGTGGGGTTTAGGGTTTAGGGATTAGGGTGTAGGGTTTAGGCTTTTAGTGTTTAGGGCTTGCAGGGTTATAGGATACTAGGATTTAGGGCTTGTAGTTCTAGGGCAGTAGCAAGAACGCAAGAGTAGGCTAGGAATACAAAGGGCGCCCATGTTGGTTTAAAGGGGCTTTTTAAGGGAACCAAAACCCCCAAAAAAAGGGAACAAGGGCCTAATCCAAGTCCGCGGTAGTGACCTGGGGGTATTGCAAGCTGTTCTGGGAGATGTACGAGACACCTGGAGCTTGAAAAAGCTACGCGAGGCTAGGATAAAGCCCGCACCAGAAGTCCATATCATGTTAGGGTTTAGGGTTTAGGGTTTAGGGTTTAGGGTTTAGGGTTTAGGGTTTAGGGTTTAGGGTTTAGGGTTTAGGGTTTAGGGTTTAGGGTTTAGGGTTTAGGGTTTAGGGTTTAGGGTTTAGGGGTTAGGGGTTAGGGGTCAGGGGTCAGGGTCTAGGGTCTAGGGTTTAGGCTTTCGGGAACCAAGTCTTTAAAGCCTGACCGCTGAACCCTTAGACCCTGACTAAACCCAAACGCCCTAGACCCTAAACGCTCTGGATCTAAAGACCTAGATACCCCCCAAATAACCCTTAAGCAAACTGTTTACGACAACAAAAAAAACGCTTACCCCCCCCCCCCCCTTAAAAAAAAAACAAAAACTAAAGACCCGTTCAAGAACCTGAACCCTATCGCCACACCCATATCTCCAAACAACTAACCCCTAAACCCTAGGCTGCCCTGTAACCTAGGCTTAAAAAGGGTGCCCATTTTTGCTTAAAGGGGTTTATAAGGGAACCTAAACCCCCCAGAAAGGGAAATAACGGTACTACTGGGCATCCGAGAACCCCTAAACCCCGAAACCCCCAAACCCCAAACCCCTAAACCCCGAAGCTTTAGCACTCCTCAAGCCTTGCCTTCTCTAAACTGTAAGCCCTAAACCCCTAAACCCTAAATCCTAAACCCCTAAACCCTAAACCCTAAACCCTAAATCCTAAACCCCTAAACCCTAAACCCTAAACCCTAAACCCTAAACCCTAAACCCTGAACCCTAAACCCTAAACCCTAAACCCTAAACCCTAAACCCTAAACCCTAAACCCTAAACCCTAAACCTCAAACCCCCCTACATTCCCAAAGCCTTGCCTTCTCAAGGAGCGCTGTGGTCTTCTTCTCCTCCGCCCTCAGGACCACATCTTGCTCCTTGAGCTCGACCTTCCAACAGCGACTCACTGGCTTAGTGTTTTCTTCTGTTTTTGTTCCTTCTTCTTCCTCTTCTTTTGCTAATCTTCTTATTACTCTTCTTCTTCTTCTGCTTCTTCTTCTGTTTAGGTTCTTTGGTTGTTGGTTTTTCTTTGTTTCTTTTTTTGGGGGCAGTGGGGCGGCGGTGCTGTGGGGGGGCGGGGGCGGGGGGGGGTGGGCGTGTTGTCGGTGGGCGGGGGGGCGGGGGGGTGGCGCGGGGGGCGGCGGGGCGGGGAGGCGGGAGCGGCGGTTTTGTGGGGGGACCCTGGGGGGCGGGGGTGGGGGGCGGGGAGGAGCGCGGGGGAGGGGGGGGGGGGCCGGGGGCGGGGGGGCGGGGGGGGGGTGGGGGGGACCCCCGAAACCCTAACCCCTAAACCCTAAACCCTAAACCATAACCCCTAGCCCCTAAACCCTAAACCCTAAACCCTAAACCCTAAACCCTAAACCCTAAACCCTAAACCCTAAACCCTAAACCCTAAACCCTAAACCCTAAACCAAAACCCTGTCTTGTCCCATCTCCTGCTGCATGTCCTTGCTCGTCGTACTTCAGCGGCAGCGTGCACTTGCAACTCGCAAACCTCATGCAGCCAAGGAAACCTGCCCGAGTCATCCGGCTGGCCCTGATCACCTAAAACCCTAAACCCTAAACCCTCCGGGAGGGTTGTCGTTCCGGTCGTCTGGCTGCGTCTGCCACTGCCCCACTCTTTTCGGGCTGTTACGTGGTCCCTTGGGTGTAGGGTTTAGGGTTTAGGGTTTAGGGTTTAGAGTTTAGGGTTTAGGGTTTAGGGTTTAGGGTTCAGGGTAGTTACATGGTCCCTTGTTATGGGCCCTTACTTGGGGAACCCATTTATTTCCCTGATATGTCCTAGAATACCCTAGGGCCCATACTTCAGAATCCTTTAAAGAAGACAAACGCCCATGTGCCATGTGCCATGTAACTTCCCTTAGACCCACAGCACATCCGAACAGGGACCCGACGTCTCAAACCTCAAGCCCTGAGCCCTTGGGGTAGTTGTTCGGGTTTAGGGTTGAGTGTTTAGGGTGTAGGGTTTATACCGTGAACCTAAAACCCCCTAAACCTAAACTCCTCAAAACCTGACCCTAAACCCTGAACCCTGGACCCTGAACCCATTTACGCTGTCTTGTCTTTGACAAAGAGTCATACAAAACCATGAACTCTACATCCCTAAACCCTAAACTCGAAACCCTTTGCCAACCTCAGCCAAAAGGGAAGCCTCGACTGAGGAGGAAAGGAACGGCTGGCAGGGCAAGAGAGTTCATGAACTTAACCTAGGGTTTAGGATTCGGTTTAGCAGTTTAGGGTTTCGGGGTTTAGGGCTTCGGGACCTCTAAACCCTGGGGTCTAGGGTGTAGGGTTCCCAACAGTGTCGAATGTCCGCATCTCCTTACCGACGGCTTGGCCTTCAGCTTCTCCACGAACTCGGAAGCCTGACGATGCCAAAGCTACCCTAAACGCTAGACCCCAACCCAAGACGGCTTCAGCTAATCATCCAGTTTTGGCATTGGGGAGCCCTGAGGCAAACCTGCCCCAAAGCCCAAGAACTGAAACCACCGTGCTTGGAAGCCCTTTCGGCTTGCTAAGTAGGGCTAGCAAGGTGGGTGTTGGGGAATGTCATAGTAGGGGTTCTGAAGGATACTACTAAGTCAACAGAGCTTCTAGGTAAATCATGAGCCCTGAGATCTGCGGGACCGGCCGCAAGCACCCCAGAACCGCTGAAGACCCTAAACCCTAAACCCTAAACCCTAAACCCGAAACCCTAAACCCTAAACCCTAAACCCTAAACCCTACAAGGCTTAGGGTTTAGGGTTTAGTGGTTCAAATTTCATGGCTAGCTTGAATAGTCGAGACCCCAGTCAAAAAATATATATATATATATACATATCCATATATATGTAATTTATAGATAGACTAGGCTGCCCAGTAACCTAGGCTTAAAAAGGGTGCCCTTTTTTGCTTAAAGGGTCTATAAGGCAACCTAAACCCCACCAAAAGGGAATAAGGGTACTACTGGGCATCCTAGTAGATAAATAACTCAGACCGAACCATGACCCGCCCGAGTAGGGTCTCATACCGAGTTCCAAGGAGGCCTTAAGCATTTAGGCATTGGGGTTTCGTCTTTGCCAGGACCTCAAGCCGTGAACCGCAGTACCCGCAACACCTAAACCCTCAACCCCCATAACTAACCCCAAACCCCAAACTCTAAACCTTAAGCCCCAAACCCTAAACCCTAAACCCTAAACCCTAAACCCTAAACCCTAAACCCTAAACCCTAAGCCCTAAATCCTGAACCCTGAACCCTGAACCCTGAACCCTGAACCCTGAACCCTGAACCCTGATCCCTGAACCCTACCTAGCTTCACCTGAGCCGGTGTGGGTTGAAGAGCCTTGGACTTTCGGGTAGAGGGGACCAGCGTCGATGCCCGCTCTCTACTATGCTAACAAGCAGCGCCTGCCACTTTTGAAAAGTGCGAGGGCCCAGACCTTGGACCATACGCAGGTCCGAGATCTGTCCGACCAACCATCTGTTCAGTGCATACTCCACATTCTTCTCCGCGTTCACGAAAACTGCTCAGCCGGCTACGCGGATCTTCGCTCTCAACGACAAAACTTTGAAGGCTCAACGCTTCAGAAAATTATAGGTACATTGAGAATTGGTTAATAAGTACCATGAACCTCCAAGTAAGGCAGCCAGGGAGAGGGGGTTTAGGGTTTAGGGTTTAGGGTTTAGGGTTTAGGGTTTAGGGTTTAGGGTTTAGGGTTTAGGGTTTAGGAGAGACAGCATCTTAAGGGGTGGACGGCTTAAAGACATGATGCCGGCAACCCAACCCCGAACCCTAAACCCGAAGCCCAAAGCCTTGTTTGGTTTAGGGGTTAGGGGTTTAGGGTTCAGGGTTTAGGGTTTAGGGTTTCGGGTTTCGGGTTTCGGGTTTCGGGCTTAGGGTTGAGGGTTTAGGGTTTTACAGTGCCTCTTTCAGCTTCTGCAAGCCGACGTTGACGCTCCTTTCCTGCACGTTGATCTCGTCGTACTTGATCGCCTGGGGAACGCGAGGATGGCCAAAGCCCCTGAAAGATACTGCTAAGATCTGTGGGCCTAAGCCCTAAACCCTAAACGCTAAACCCTAAACCCTAAACCCTGAACCCTGAATCCTAAACCCTAAGCCCTGGACGGGCATTGTGTGTGCGTGATTAAGCAAGACCTGAAAAGCATCTGCATCCCTAGACCATGTGGCTGCGGCGCACCGCAGGCCACTGAGTTCCGGCGAAATCAGATTGCTTCTGCACTTGCCCGGAGCTTAAGCTGTAAGCCCTGTACTCTAACCCCTGGGCGTGTTTGGGTGGGGGTGGGGGGGTGGGGGGATTGTTGTTTCTTCGGGGGAGGGGGTTCTGGCCCCTCTTCCAGGAAACAAATTGGAAAATCCTACAGTCAAGGGATACGGTTCTAGGCGCAAAGCGTTGGACTTGCTAAATGAGCAACGGGCGGTGTTGAAACCTACGGCGTAGGACTCTAAATGCCCACACCCCAGCCCCTCGCAAGCTTCAGCCTTCAGAGGAAAATCTGCAAAGCAGATAAATTTCCTGGTAAATTTTGTCACAACCTATGAATATTACAACTCAAATTAAGCCCTTATTTCCAGTCAGCTGTGCTGCTTCCACAGCAACCTATCAGCCGCGCTTCCCCAACCCCTAAACCCTATAAACTGAGCCCTGCATGACCCCAGACTACACCTGACATTTGAGCTAGTGCGAACCCAAACGAAAGTGTCACCCAAGACTTGTCTCCCACTGACACAACCCAGCATCCCTTCTACCGCCTTCGTGTGAACTGTCGGCAAAAACCGAAACCCCCTCTCCCTACTCTGGAGCAGACCCTGGCAAAAAGTATACACTTTTTAGGTATAAGTAGCTAGAATAGGAACCCAGAACCAAAAAACATTACAGTATAGTACTCCAAAACTCCTCCTCTCAGAAGCATCCAAACAAACCTTCGTAGCTGGAATCCTGGAGCCCTGATTGCGCCTAAAGCAATTGTAGCAGGCTTCCGGCTGGCTCTATACTTTCTTTAGAACCCTTTATAAAAAGAATATGTTCAATATTCCTTTGGCTTTTATACAAAACTTAAAAATTAACCCTAAGGGGGCTATAGGGTTCCCTGGCATCTTGCGCGCTCACATCGCAACAAGCAAACTTGTGATATCAGCAGCAAAACCGCTCAATAAGCGAGCGCTCGTCATTGGACCAACACAACCATGACATGTGGGTATGGAAAAAGCGATCGCGCATGACATCACATGGCTGCACATGATACGTGCTAAACGGCGAGACTACAGATCAGGTGCAGGTGTGTTTCCCTTTACCGTCCAGCTCCCAGCCCGCGTTCCCAATCCGCGTTCCCAGGTTCACAAAACTTCGAGGAAACAAGCACCCTAGTGGTCGCGGGCAACTTGTTCTTATGCAAACGCGTGGGCATGCCAAACACGAGGTTATGTCCTAGCATAGAAGTTGCACCCTACATCCAGGAGAACTGTTGCAAGTTCCAGAATCAAGTAGGAAGCACCAACACAAGATCTTTGCACCGCAGCATACCACAGGTACCCGATCGCGTCTTGGGCAAGGAAGTTCATACTGCGGTCTGCGCGTGCACCAAAACATATTCAGCGGATCAAAGTTCGGGTTCACACGGACTCTGAGAGACTTCCAGGCACACGAGTGCAGGCGCGCAGAGACAACAGCCGTGCAAGCCATGTGTTGCAAGCAATGCCAGAGTCATGCCACTCTTTGCGTGGAACGGCTCCATCTAGATTGCCGGTGACCGCACGTTGTAGCTCACAAACTCGGGACATAGTGCGCATGTAGAGACGAGGGCAGCACCATCCCTAATTTGCTCGTGAGCCTGCATACGTTCCAAACGACGTGACGGAACTTCCACTTGCAGCTTGCAGCGCAAAACCCCAGTAACCTGTGCGTACGTTGTGAAATATCCTCTTCTCACAGCATTAGTGAACATCCCATTGCGGCAGCATCGTGCTGAAAAACAGTCACCTCAAAGTTCCTGTTTGGAAACGTGACAACCCACAGGGTCTACAGGCTTCCAGCGGGTCAACGCGAAGCCGGTAGGCAAATTTGTCAGCTCACCTTTCCCCTGGAAGCAGTGCCGAAGTTTTGTGTATAGGGTTTAGGGTTTAGGGTTTAGGGCAGTTTAGGGTCTTTAGGGTTTTTGCGGCTTAGGGTTCAGGGCGAAGGCGGGCAATGAACCCTAAACCACTGAACTGGCACTGCGAAACCCTAAACCCTAAACCCTAAACCCAAAACCCTAAGGCCCGGGCGTAAAGCACCTTGTAGAAATCGATAAGGCACAGGAAGCTCTTGGGCGTGACGTAGACGTTCTTGCGCATGCCTGAGTCTCCGGGTGTGGGGTTTGAGGTTTAGGGTTTAGGGTTTAGGGTTTAGGGTTTAGGGTTTTGGGCTCAGGGCTCAGGGCTTGGGGTTTAGGCTTTAGGGTTCAGGGTTTAGGGTTTAGAAGTGCACCGAACACCGAACAACCCCAAAAAACCGTTAAAACCGACAGCTGTCGAAAAGCGTGTTCGAACCCGAAACGCCCTAGACCGAGGAGCATGTCAAGGGATGGAAGCACTAGACCCCAAACTTTAACCCTAAAACCCTAAACCCTAAACCCTAAACCCTAAACCCTAAACCCTAAACCCTAAACCCTAAACCCTAAACCCTAAACTGGGCAGAAGCTACCAAGCTCTACTCGTGCTACCCTGGATCCCAACGGTTGTATCCTCAGGTTGGGTCCCCTTCTTTAGGGTTTGGGTTTAGGGGCATAGGGTTTAGGGTTTAGGGTTTAGGGTTTAGGGCTTAGGGTTTAGGGTTTAGGGTTTAGGGTTTAGGGCACAACTACTGATCAGCAAGAGGCGGGGCAAGTCACACGCTCTAAGCCCCAATTGGGGGTTTACGGAAATAAGGGCCCCTAATACGGACCCCCAAATAGTAGGATCCCCTGAGAATAAGGACCCGAATAGGGTACCCCTAATTTCGGGAAACCCCCCACTTGAGACGAAGTTGAGTTCGAACCAAGGCACGCGTGTAGTAGACGTCGCACAAGTCTCGCGTAAGGGCCTCTTCCAATCAGATCAACAGTTCGGCAGGGCTTCGAAGGGTGTGGGTTTAGGGTTTAGGGTTTAGGGTTTAGGGTTTAGGGTTTAGGGTTTAGGGTTTAGGGTTTAGGGTTTAGGGGTTTAGGGGTTTAGGGGTTTAGGGGTTTAGGGGTTTGGGGTTTGGGGTTTAGGGTTTAGTGTTTAGGGTTTAGGGTTTAGGGTTTAGGGTTCAGCGCGTGGGCAAAAAGTCCGCTGACCCCCCAAGGATGGCCTGGAACGATCCCGTCAGGGCGAAGAGGCGTCCTGCGGGATGACAGCTTCGGGGTTGTTTGGGTTCAGAGCTTAGGGTTTAGGGTAGGGTTTAGGGTTTAGGGTTTAGGGTTCAGGGTTCAGGGTTCAGGGTTTAGGGTTTAGGGTTTAGGGTTTAGGGTTTAGGGTTTAGGGTTTAGGGTTTAGGGTTTAGGGTTTAGGGTTTAGGGTTTAGGGCTTGGGGGCTACAGGACTTTGGGTTTTGGGGGGATGTGCATGTTGGCTGCCTGCTGAGTTTTAGGGGTAGGGGCTACAGGACTTTTTGGGTTGGAGTTTTGCAACTCGATGTTCCGACTTAGGGCGTCCTTCTTTCTTGATTAAGTTGCTGGGGTTAAGGGTCTAAGGGGCTTAGGGTAAACCCTCAACCCTCAACCCTCAACCCTCAACCCTCAACCCTCAACCCTCAACCCTAAACCCCTAAACTGCCCTAAACCCTATACCCGGGATGCCGGGCTGAAGGACCGCTGACTGTGTAGAGAGTCCGGAGCGGCAGTGCGACCACGCCCAAAAGCCCTGAAAAGCCGTCACCTGACCCCTAAAGCCTACAACCCTGAACCGAAAGAAAGAACCTAAACTCTAAACCATAACCCTAAACCCTAAACCCTAAACCCTAAACCCTACCCCCTAAGCAATGAACCCTGAGCCCTGAACCCAAAGCCAGCCTAAACCCTAAGCCCTAAACCCTAAACCCTAAACCCTGAACCCTGAACCCTGAACCCTAAACCCTAAACCCTAAACCCTAAACCCTAAACCCTAAACCCTAATCCTAAACCCTAAACCCTGAACCCTAAACCCCAAAAGCCCAAACCCCGCATGGCAGGAGTCCTTTGTCTGCTTCGGAGCAGTCCAGCCTGCAGAGGGTTTAGGGTTTAGGGTTTTGGGTTTAGGGTTTAGGGTTTCGGGTTTAGGGTTTAGGGTTTAGGGTTTAGGGTTTAGGGTTTAGGGTTTAGGGTTTAGGGTTTAGGGTTTAGGGGGTAGGGGGTAGGGGGTTTGGGGTTTGGGCTATAGGGTTTACGGCTTCGGCAGATATTCAATGAAATCTGCTCCATGTCCATGCAATGAAGTGGGCCCCTCATGTCCTGCATCACCAAACTTCCGGTGTGTTGGCAAAGAGGTGCAGGAGGGCTCAATCCTTTGCCCTTGAAAGAACCCTCAACCCTAAACCCTAAACCCTGAACTCTAAACCCTGAACCCTAGACAGCCTCAACAGGCCAGGCCTGCTTTTTCAAACACCAAACTTTAAGGAATCTATTCAAAGAGCCCCCCCCCCCCCCCCCCCCCCCCCCCCCCCCCCCCCCCCCCCCCCAAACGACCCCACGAGTTCTGAAGCCTAAAGGTCTTGGAGGTTCAGGGTTAGGGTTTAGGTTTGGGTTTAGGGTTTAGGTTTAGGGTTTAGGGTTTAGGGTTTTAGGCTAGGGTTAGGTTTAGGTTAGGTTTAGGGTTTAGGGTTTAGGGTTTAGGGTTTAGGGGGTTTAGGGTTTAGGGTTTAGGGTTTAGGGTTTAGGGTTTAGGTTTAGGGTTTAGGGTTTAGGGCTTAGGCCCAAACCCTAAACCCCACGGCTGCCTGTAGGAGCTCAGGAAGGCGCTGCTCACTGCGACCAGCGCGGCCTCGGGCCATGGCATGAACCTCGGCACGCCGCCTCCCTCTAAGGAGCGGTTTTAGGGTTTAGGGTTTAGGTTTAGGGTTTAGGGTTTCGGGTTTCGGGTTTCGGGTTCGGGTTTAGAGTTTAGGGTTTGGGGTCCAGGGTGGGTTTAGGGTTTGGCGGCTGTTCCAAGTGGAAGTGCCTCTCTGATAGAACTCTTTGCGCAAAGACCCGAATCTAAGCGACCCCAAAGCCAAAACATTTAATTAACCCCAAACCCCAAACCCTAAACCCTAAACCCCCACACCCCCAAACCCTAAACCCTAAAAACCCTAAACCCTAACCCTCCAGGAAGCCAGTTGATGTTCACGGGTAAGACCCGGGAACTTCTGCTGCTCGGATCGGGAACTTGGCGTGACCTGGGCCCATTTCGGGCGGAGCCGAGGTTGAAGCTGAAACTTGGCTTTGGGAAGTTTAGGTTTAGGGTTTAGGGTTTAGGGTTTAGGGTTTAGGGTTTAGGGTTTTGGTTTTAGGGTTTAGGGTTTAGGGTTGGGGCTTGGGGTTTGCGGTTTGGGGCTTGCGGTTTGGGATTTGGGGTTTGGGGTTCGGTCGGACGTCGTTCGATCATTGGGGTTTGAGGTTTGGGGTTTTCATAGGGGTGTCCGAAGTAGGGGTTCTCTTTTTTGGGGGTTCCTAAGGGGCTTTATTGATTTGGCAGGTGGGGGGGGGGGGGAGGTATGCTAAGGGTACCCCGTGCCTGCCCCTGAAACCATTTAAAGGTCGGTTCCCTAACCCTAAACCCTAAACCCTAAACCCTAAACCCTAAACCCTAAACCCTAAACCCTAAACCCTAAACCCTAAACCCTAAACCCTAAACCCTAAACCCTACTTTTTTTGCTGGGCTCTTATTCCAAGGCCCATGACTTCCAACGACCTTTTGAACAACCGTAATTCGGACTGGGCGGTCTCTACATCGGCCCATGCTTTGCAGCAAGCTACCTGGGCAGCAAGCTATTTGCAGTCCGGAGATTCCTTAACCATATTTACAACAAAGGGTACCCTTTTGGGGGGTTTAGGCTTTAGGGTTTACCCTTTTGGGGTTGGTTTGTTTTTAACCTTTTTGGAGTTGACTACTTCATAAAGGGAACCTAGAGCCCCCAAACAAACGAGCAAGAGAGTACCACTGGCTACCAAGGCTTCACTGAAACTGCACTGGGGGGAGCGTGCGCACACCACTGACAAGCCCCTACTCACTCTAAACGCCAATACCTAAACCCTAAGACCCCGGGACTGACGTTAGAAACCTACATCATGAATCCTTAAACCTCCAGCCGTTCGCCCTCAGCCCCGCAACCTAAGCACTGACCCTACCGGAAGCCTAGGTCGCGAACCCACGACCGCGGCGAGCCCTCCTCTACTATCGAACTTCTGTAAAGGGGCTCATAGCCACAGTTTAGTATTTTGAGAGCCTTTACAAAGCTGATTTCAACTGCTTGGTTTAGCCTGTCCAACTCCCTGTGCCGAATGTGGACAGCTTGGATCAACTGGGCCTCAGGCGGGTGAGAAGCACAGGCAAACGTGGAGGTTGTCGCGTAGGCGGTCCATGAGGTAGTTGTACATGTTCAGCAGGTTCTCCTTCAAAGCAGAGTCCAGCTCGGGGATTCAGAGTGTGCTTGCTTCACTTCTTTCTTCTTACTGTCCTTCTTCTTACTACTGCAATACTTATGAGCACTTACGCCATCACCATAGTATCTGCCACTGTGAAACCTAAACCCTAAACCCTAAACCCCAAACCCCAAACCCTAAACCCTAAACCCCAAACCCTAAACCCTAAACCCTGAAAACCCTGAACCCCTGGATCCCCCCCGTCTCCTCCATGTTGGGGTTCTCCTTGACGAAGTCGTTTCGCACATCGCCGCACATGGCATCCTGCTGCAAGAGTCGCTAGCTCCCCACGGGTTTAGGGTTTAGGGTTTAGGGTTTAGGGAGGGTTTAGGGTGTAGGTTTAGGGTTTAGGGCCCCAAAGATGACTCCCTTTTTTGTAGGTGAAGACGATACGATGCCAGGCTTTCTCGGGGCTTTAAAGGGTTTACCCTAAACCCTAAGCCCGCAACCTGGTCAGGGGCTAGTATCAGGTTAGAGGCTGAGTTCACAAGCCCCAAAAAAGTGTACAGTTTCAGTTCTATAGGGGATTATAGCATCCCCAAAAAAATTAAAGTGTACTCATTCAGATACTAAGACAACAGATTATATCATAAGCCGCCAGGGCCGATTCCACCCTCGTCCGCCGCCTTCTCATCCTTGGCGAACAAGCCGACAACCTCGCCTGCACAGAGTACATAGGGTTCAGGGTTTCGGGTTGAGGGTTTAGGGTTTAGGGTCTAGAGGAGCTGTAAGAAAAGG